TGGTATATAACTGTAGAAATATAAAATATATATACTGGTTGTTGTGTTATTAAGTGCTGTCAAGTCAATTTCTTGTGACTCATAGTGATCCCATAAAGAACTGCCCCATTGGGTTTTCTAGGCTACATTTTTACAGGAGCAGATTGCCAGATCTTTCTCCTGAGGAACACCTAGGCAGGTTTGAATTGCCAACTTTTCAGTTAAGAGCTGAACACTTAAATGTTGTGCCACCAGGGATCCTTATATCCTAGGTAGAGATATAAAAATTGTCACCCTGGAACTCAATCAAAAAGTTTGAAAATCATTGTTCTCACAAATCCTAGGTAAACTATATCATCAAAGAAAGAATTAAATTCCCATACCTCTACATGAAATCATGGCCATTCATGTGCCCTGACACAAAGACTCCAGTTCTGGCAGCTGTCAGATCTAAATGTGTCAAAAAAGGGTAGAGGCAGTGGATTTCCAATCAGGAGGCACAGTCTCAAAAGGAAGTATAGAATTCACTGGGGTATTTAAGGATAGATTTAACAAAAAGTATTAATTTTGGCTAGCTCAGATTTCCCAATTCACATAGACTATTTATAACCTAGGGAGAGGAATATATTGGCAGGGGGTTCCCCAAAATCAGGCTAAGTATGGCACATTTGGGGTGGAGGTAGGGAGGCAGTATTGTTGTTGTTGTTGTTAGTTGCTGTGGAGTTGATTCTGACTCACTGTTACCCCATGTGTGCAGAGTAGAACTGCTTCATAGGGTTTTCAAGGCTGCAACCTTTTGGAACCAGATACCAGGCAGGTCTTCCAAGGTGCCTCTGCTGACCTTTCAACTGGCAGTCAAGCACTTAACCATTTGTGCCATCAAGGAACTCTTGAAATCAAACTAATTATGGCTTCTAAGAGCATTCATTTTACACATTTGGCTCTGGAGAGTAGGGGGTTGATTTTATACCATGATTCTATTCCAGCTTAACAACTTCTCAGGTTCCATGTGATGAAATTTTGTATTATACAAATGCAAGTTGTCCTCTAGTTTGAATGACTCAGATGTACTTGGAACAGAGTCCATTTCTTTTATATATTTATATAATAACTCTAATTATATTCTTAATTCTTTATTTGAAGGTTGAGCAATCTACTTCCGTAGTGATACTACCTCGGAAACCCAAGAAGAGGTCACTATGAGTCAGGTCCGACTCGATGGCACATAACAACAACAACATATGTTAGCCATATAGCCATATGAAAGCTGGATGATGAATAAGGAAGACCGAAGAAGAGTTGATGCCTTTGAATTGTAGTGTTGGAGAATAGTGAAAATACCATGGACTACCAGAAGAATGAACAAATCTGTCCTGGAAGAATTGCAGTCAGAAAGCTCCTTGGAAGCTAGAATGGCCAGAGTTTATCTCACCTACTTTGGTCATGTTGTCAGAAGGGACCATTCCCTGGAGAAGAATATCATGCTTAGTAAAGTGGAGGGTCAGTGAAAACGGGGAAGGCCCTCAACAAGATGGATTGACACAGTGGCTGTGACAATGAGCTCAAATATAGCAAGGACTGTGAGGACAGTGCACGACCAAGCAGTGTTTCATTCTGTTGTACACAGGTTGCTATGAGTCAGAGCTGACTTGATACCATCTAACAACAATAACATATGTTAGCCAAGGAGCTCTGGTAGTGTAATGGTCAATACATACGGCTGCTAACCAAAAGGTCAGCAGTTTGATCCCACAAGCTGCTCTGGAGAGAAAGACGAGGCAGCTTGTTTCCCCAAAGACATACAGCCTTGGAAACTTAGAAACCCTATGGGACAGTTCTACTGCCCTATAATGTTGCTGTGAGTCGGAACTGACTCAAGGGCAGTGGTTGGGCTTTTTTTTTTTTTTTTTTTTAAATTTGGTTATATGTTAGCCTCAACTAGATGGACTGACACAGTGGCTACAACAATGGGCTCAAATATAGCAATGATTGTGAGGATGGTGCAGGAATGCTCAGTGTTTCATTCTGTTGTACATAGGATCACTATGACTCCATGGCACCTAACAACGTTAGCTACTAAAAGATACAAAAAAAGAATAAAACACATTTCTTGACTTTAAGGATCCTACAGGCAAATAGAGGAGGAACATAACAAAACAGGTAACTGTAAGACAGCTATTCATGCATACAAGCACATCATTCTTATTTTAAAGCAAACTGGAGACTTCAAGGAAAACTGTCACCACTACTGGTAGCTATGCTTATGGGGAAGTGTGGGGAGGGAGCATGCAGAGCTTACACTCATCCTCCTTTGCTCTCTGTTCTTAGGGATCTTATGTGGAAAAGTGTGAGATACACTGCTCTAGACCTGGCAGAGCATCCAGAACAAAAACATGATGTAGAAGTATAGTCCATCTCTGAGACCATGCTCTCAAAAAGTGCTCTTGGCTAGCAGAAGACCGGACAGTAAGCAGTGGTTAAGCAGCTTTATACAAACTGACAACAACTAAGCTTATGCTTAACAAAAACCCATCCCTAAAGAGTCAAGAATGACAGATTTGGATTCAAGGACTGGATTGAAATCTAGCCTATTTACTTATGACCTCTTTGGGAGATTGTAGCACAATACTATTTTCAGGCTGTCAGTATTTTTCTTACTAATTCTTGAATTTACTTAGATGTGGCTTATTAGAAATCTGGGGAGAGGAAACATCAGAAAAAAGGAATGGGGTATCTTGGGAGATACCATAAGTTTTCTGCAACAAAGGTTAAAATTATAACTTGGTCCACAATGCTCCAAAGCTAAGGCAGGTGGTCAATAATTGTATGCAAGCAAAACACTTTATGTATTACATTATATTTATGCTTCAAAATTCAGAACTTTGTATTTTCTACTTGTTCTACATGGAATGGACAGTCCACTTTCCATTTTGTCTTACACTTATCTTTGGGACCTCAACTGGTGCCACTTTATCTAGAAGTTTTCTTTGAATCCTCAGATCAAATAAAAAATTATTTCCATAATAACCTGTTAATATTGTTTCTATTACAGAACTTCTTACAGTTTTACAGTGGCAGATGTACTTCTCCATCTCCCACATTAGAAAACAATGCTTTAAGTTGGGGTCTGTCTTAATCATATCTGTATTCCCAATATTTAGCTCTGAGTTGAGTTAGCAGTATGGTGAAGAAAACATTGAAAGTGCATTTAGGATGGGGGAGTGGGAATAGGGCTTTGTCATCAGTCAGGCCAGAGTTCAAACCTAGCTTTGTCTGCCAATCAGCAGACACTACTATGTGTCTACTGTAGTAGACATGGGAAGACAATGTGGAATAAGAACATTAAGCTCTCTTCTCTTCCAGTCTAGCTTAAAGACCTCTGGAAAGATACTGCTACTAAATGAGGCTCAGATTCCTCATCCTTGAAAATAGGTATACAAAAAAAGTATTTACTATCTCCTAGTATAAGTTGTGGGGAGCTCTGGTAGCGTAGTGCCTAAGGCGCTTGACTGCTAACCAGAAGGCTGGTGGTTCAAACCCACCAGCCACTCCTCGGAAGGAACGTTGGGCAATCTACTTCTGTAGTGATACCACCTCGGAAACCCAAGGAGGGGTCACTATGAGTTGGTCCAACTTGATGGCACATAACATCAACACAGTATAGTTGTGAGGATTATTGGGCTAAAATGAGTTATCACCACAACACCTCATGCATACAAGCACCAAATAAATGTCAACTGTTATTATTCCTGAAACTGTGGGCCTGAGGTAGTACATCATACAGGTCAGTTTAATCTATCATAAAGCAACAGAATTCTCTTTAAAAGTCTCACCACTGACAGAACCTGAGTAGGCTCTTTGAGTATCTGGAGAAAAATACAGTCCTTGACTCTTCCAATTAAGATAATAAGAGTGTGCTGATCCACTTGCTCTTGGCTTGCTTTTATGAGCAGAGTGGCACACAGTTTTACATTGACATGTTAACAGATAGAAATTAAAGTTACAATGAGAGATCATCAAATAGTGCTTAATATAATGGTGTTCATCCCTACTGGCTACTAGATAGTCACAAAACCCCTCAGTTTTCTCATTTGTAAAATGACAATATTAGTACCTGGACTTTGCAAGAAATAAATGAGTTCATGTAGGGAAGACCTTAGCACAGGCCCAGCACTTAGACAGCATTGAATAAATGACTGCCTACCAACCACACCCAAGGCCTTCTGATTATTGTGATAGTGCAGTGGTTAAGCGCACAGAAAAGAAGGGTAAGGGCCTGGATTCACACATTAGTTAAGCCACGGTTTGACTGTGTATCACTGGGAAAATCATTTTACTTCATCTTAGCCATTTTATCCAAAAACAGTTCTCACAGAATTGTTAAGGATTAAAAAATGAACTAGTAATGTCTGTGAAGACTTAGCACAGAGCCTGGGGTATATGGTTAAGTGGTCAATATTAGCTGCTATTATTTCAGTTATACTGTTTTCAATAACTGTTATTGCCATAATTTTACACCCAGTACCTGCCTGTACCAGAATTCCTTCATTTATGCCCTAGTGGAATATCCAAAAGCAATTCACAACTTCTGACGAAAAGCAAAGCACAAACTTTCCTGTCAGAGAAGACTTCCTGGATTTTAAGTACCATACTCTCCTCACCTTACCTCCTCCACCCTACTTTAGATTCCCCACACCACTAATAATTTATTGACTGTATTCTTCACTTGCAAGTAAATTCCATGGGTAAGAACTTGACTTAGCTCACTGCTGTATCCTTAGCATCCTGAATAGAGCTTGGCAAGCAGTTGTGTTGTTAGCTGCTGCGGAGTCGATTCCGACATAGAGAACACATGCAAACACCATGGCACATAGTAAACGCTTACTATATACATTTGAGAAAATAATTCAATGTGTCCTTTCCCAGCCCTAAAATCGCCTCCATTTTGCTTCCGATTAACGAAACCGAGGGAGCCAAGGAGTCTGAGTCTCCCGTCCCCCAGATGCTTCCCCATTACGCACCAGAAGGGTCATTGAATCGTTTCAGGGGCGCCTTAGGAAAGGACATACTGATGACCAGCTCCACCAACCGAACTCACAGCGATCCTTCGCAAAACGCCTGGAGATTACAATCTACTTGCTTCAAATTCAAACTTCCCCGCAAATTACCCGCCCACGCTGACGTCAGCCAATTGGAAACCCAAAATCCTTGGGTACACCAATCCTGCACGGGAACGCTAATAGGGCATGCGCAAACTGCTGCCGCGAGTCCAATTAAGGGGCTACGAAGTGAGGCTATCAGCCAATAGGAAACTAGTACGGTGTCGCCACCCCCATGATTTCTGACATTTCTCAATTTGACCTAAGCACTAGCAGCGCATGTTAAATCTGAGAAGCGTGAGTTTTGTTTAGACTCATATAGAGCTTCTGTGTCACTCTTTCGAACCCTCTCTCACCATTCTATATAAAAAAAAGGAAAACCCAAACTCACTGCCAGCCAGTAATTTCTGACTCATAGCGACCCCCACTGGGTTCCCGAGCCTGTGAATCTTTACGGAAGTAGATCGCCCCGTCTGCCTTCCGCGGAGCAGCTGGTGGGTTTGAACCGCTGACCTACCGGTTAGCAGTTAATGCCTTATTCACTAGGCCACCAGAGCTCCTTCACCGTTCTACAGGTGCATATTTCTTACGGGGCTCTTTCAGTGTCAGAAATGGCTATACAAAGAAACAAGACAGGCCTTGACACTCCCTAAATTCTAGCGCATGTGCAGTGACCCGAGCAGGGAGGCTAGAATGTACTTTGCGTGTGGGCATTCTGCGCGTGCGCATAGCTCGCTCCTTGCGGTCGTATCCGGAAAGCACCTTGAATATGTCGGCACCATTTGAGGAACGCAGTGGGGTGGTTCCTTGCGGGACGCCGTGGGGTCAGTGGTACCAGACCCTGGAGGAAGTGTTTATTGAAGTTCAAGTGCCGCCAGGCACTCGCGCTCAAGATATCCAGTGTGGCCTGCAGAGCCGGCATGTGGCGCTGGCCGTGGGTGGCCGCGAGATCCTCAAGGTAGCGGCCAGTTGTGGCTTGCTTGTACTTAGTATTCTTTTCCCGGCCTCACAAAAATCCCTAGCCCTAAGGTTCATTGCTTTCATGGAAAGACCCTTGGAAAGCCCTACAGCATCCCTGGCCGAATAAGAGATGCTGATAAAATTTGTTTGATTGTGATTTGGTGGGAGCCCCCACCCTCCGGGCCAATCCAGAGTTGAGGAGCCCAGTTTTCTGGTTTTATCTTCGAACCAGATAAGGGAGTCTTGTTTCTCTAAGGGTCTTCAGATGAGAACAGGTTAACTAGGTAATTATAGCAACAAACGTTTTTCGTAGGAAGGTTGGGCAATCTAGTTCCGTAGTACTACCGCCTAGGAAACCCAGGGAGGGGTCGCTATGAGTCCGGTTCGACTCCTCCGCACATAACAACAACATACATTCTACCTGGTACTAGCCTAGATCCAGCGGTAAAGAGATAGATAATGTTGCACTGATAAGCTAAATTCTTGTAGAGGCGTGGTAAAACAACTGAAAGGCAAGTATGGGAAAGTACAACAAACTACTGTGTTGTACAAAGTATAATTTTAAAAAAAGGGGATATCGAGGGAAGATTTGAGAGGCCATCAGGTCATTTATTTTCGCAATTAAAATTTTAAAATTTCTGCAAGTTTGTGGAGTAGTCACGCTGTATGAGATGTGAAGACAATAACCAATTCCTGTCTCTTGTATCTTCTCATTAATGCCCTTTGGAACAGAAATCTGTTTCTTCTTTGTAGTTAAATGTAGTAAGCTAATTGAAGTTGGATGTTTTTCTCAGATTACTGCCCAGATGTTTGATGATAGTGTAATGTAGTGGTGAAGGACACAGCTTGGCATGATATCTGACTCCACCAGTTTTCTGGTTTTGTAAACTTGGACAAGAGAATATTAAGCCTGTTTCTTCATCCATAAAATGTGATATGCTGGTTTTCTCATGGATTATTGAGAACATAAAATGATATCCGTATGAAGAGCTTGAAGTAGTATCTGTTATAGTTAGGTGCCGAGTTGGTCCCAACTCATTGCAACCCTATGTACAACAGAGAAACACTGCCTGATCCTGCACCATTCTCACAATTGTTGCTATGCATAAGCGCATTGTTGCATTCACTGTATCCGTCCATCCACTTGAGGGAGTCTTCCTTTTCTTGCTGACCCTCTACTTTACCGAGCATGATCTGCTTTTCCTGGGGCTCTTCCCCTCTGACAACATGACCAAAGTAGTAGAGATGAAGTCTGACCGTTCTTGCTTCTAAGGAGCATTCAGGCTTTATTTCCTCTAAGAAAGATTTGTTCATTTTTCTAGCAGTTCATGGTACATTCAATATTCTTCGCCAACACCATAATTCAAATGCATCAATTTTCTGTGGTCTTCCTTATTCATTGTCTAGCTATCACGTGCATTGAGACTATTGAAAATACCATGGCTTGGGTCAGGAGACCTTAGTCTTCAAAGTGACATCTTTGCTCTTAAACACTTTAAAGAGGTCTTTTGCAGCAGATTTGCCCAATGCAATGTCCTTTGAGTTTTTGAAGTAATACCTAGTAGGTAATAAGCACACACTACATGTCAATTAAGAGCTCTGGTAGTGTAGTGCCTAAGGCACTTGACTGCTAACCAGAAAGTGGTTCAAACCCACCAGCCCCTCCTCAGAAGCAAGGTTGGGCAATCTACTTCCATAGTGATATCACCTCAGAAACCTAAGGAGGGGTCACTAAGAGTCAGCTCAGACTCCACGGCAGTGAATTTGATTTGGAATCTTCTAAGGAGCCCTGGTGGCATAGTGCCTCTGTGGCATTTGACTGCTAACTAGAAGGTTGGCGGTTCAAACCCACCAGCTACTCCACAGAAGGAAGACTGGGCAATCTACTTCTGTAAAGTTTTACCTCCTTGGAAACCCTAAAGGGGTCGCTCTGAGTCAGAATCGACTGGATGGCAGTGACTTTGGTTTTGGTTTTGAATCTTCTTTTAGGAAACAGGTGCTCTTTGGCAGAGTATTCCAAGCAGTATGAAGTAGGCTCCTTTTTACTTGCTTAGAGAGTTGAGAAACTAGAAATGCAAAATAGTATAAAACTTGATTTACCTACCCTAACTAAATTAAACAATTATATGTGGATTAGGTGGGAAATTGGGTAAGTCTTAAATCATGAAAACTTTATCAAAATTAATGAAATGCAATATTTTCAGTATCTTGTATATTTATTTTTCAGGGCAAACTCTTCGATTCTACAATAGCTGATGAGGGAACATGGACGTTGGGTAAGGGTAATTTATATTTCATAGATTTTTTAAAATAATTTTTCTTGTAACTTAGTATTTTTTTTTATCCCTTTTAAATAGGTCCTTTTCACAACTTTGAAAGTTATAGTAGTAGAAATGTGTTGAAAAAACTGTATGTCAAGATTTTCATAAAGTTTTCATGATTTAAGACTTACCTAATTTCCCACCTAATCCACATATAATTGTTTAATTTAGTTAGGGTAGGGAAATTAAATTTTATACTATTTTGCATTTCTAGTTTCTCAACCCTCTAAGCAAGTGAAAAGGAGCCTACTTTATAGTTTATAAAACTCATAGTTTTTGAAAAATAAAACCTGATATATTCCAACTTTTTTTAAATTTCTGATTATTTTTTTGTTTGTTTGTTTAGAGGACAGAAAAATGGTCCGTATTGTTCTTACAAAGACCAAAAGAGATGCAGCAAATTGCTGGACCTCTCTTCTAGAATCTGAATATGCAGCTGACCCTTGGGTTCAAGACCAAATGCAGAGAAAACTTACTTTGGAGAGATTCCAGAAAGAAGTAAGTTAGATGAAATCAGAATGATCATTATTACGCTTACCCTTCACTATCTTAGTGCCTAAGGCACTTGACTGCTAACCAGATGGCTGGCGGTTCAAACCCACAAGCCACTCCTCGGAAGGAAGGTTGGGCAATCCTACTTCTGTAGTGTCACCGCCTCGGAAACCCAAGGAGGGGTCGCTATGAGTCGGGGCCAACTTGACGGCACATAACAACAACAACAATCTTATCCAAAATTTTACATTTGTAACAATAGTAAAAAATCTATCCAACTGTTTTGTGTGTTAATGATGTACATGTGGTAGTAATGAATGTTGAGGTGTGTTGTTGTTGTTAGGTTCTGTCCAGTTGGGTCCAGACTCATAGCTACACTATGTACAACAGAACAAAACACCCCTCCAGTCCTGTGCCATCCTAACAGTCCTTCCTGTGCTGAAGCCCATCATTGCAGCTGTTGTGTGTCAGTGCATCTCATTGAGGGTCTTGCCTTTCTTTGGTTACCCTCTACTTTACCAAGCATGATATCCTTCTTCAAAGAATGCTCCATTCTGACAGCATTACCAAAGTAGGTGAGATGAAGTCTGGCTATTCTCGCTTCCAAGAAGCATTCTGGCTGCATTTCTTCCAGGACAGATTTGTTCGTTCTTCTGATGATCCATTGGTGTTTTCAGTATTCTTCACCAATACCATGATTCAGGAGCACCAACAATTCCTTATTCATTGTTCAGCTTCACATGCATATGAGGTAATTAAAAATACGATGGCTTGGGTTAGGCACACCTTAGTCTTCAAAGTGACATCTTTGTTCTTTAGTACTTTAAAGAGGTCTTTTGCAGCAGAACTTCCCAGTATTATATGATGTCTGATTGCCTGACTGCTCCTTCCTTGAGTATTGACTTGAATCCAAGTAAAATGAAGCCCCTGACGATTTCAGTCTTTCCTCCGTTTATCATGATGTTGTTGTTGGTCCAGTTGTTGAGGATTTTCATTTTCTGAATGTTGAGGTGTAATCCATAGAGCACTGTAGTCTGATCTTCATCAGTAAGTGCTTCGAATCATCTTCACCTTCAGCAAGCAAGGTTGTGTCATCTGCATGTCACAGGTTGTTAATGGTTCTTCCTCCAGTCCTGATGCCTTGTTCTTCTTTATATAATCCAGTTTCTCAGTTTATTTGCTCAGCATACAGATTGAATAAGAATGATGAAAGAA